CACGCCCTCCACCCCCCCCCCCCCACTGTCCCAGCCCCCCCATGGCTGCCCCGCCTGTTGCAGCTCCAGCCCTTTAAGAAATCAAAAAACCCTGGACTCACTGATCCTGCCCGGTGGGGGGGGCAATCCCCACTTCCCCCCCGCTGCCCCGTGCTTCATGGGAGGCTCTTCCACAAGCCCCCTGAAGCCCCAAGGTTGCTGCAGGAGTGGTGAGTGCAGGGTTTTTCTTTATTTTGGTTTTTTCTTCTTAAAGGGCCGGAGCGGGGGCAGCCATGGGGGCGGCAGGACAGCCGTGGCGGGGTTGGGGGAGCAGGCAGAGGTCAGGGGGGCTGGGGGAGCAGGCAGGGGATGGGGGCTGGCAGGGGTCCTCCCATGGGCCCCTCCCCCCTCCACCAGCCTCTCTTCCCCCACCCCCTACTTACCAGCTCCGAGTCGAGCTGCAGCTCCCTGCTGCAGCCACCAGGGACTGTCCGAATCATCAAAGCTCTCCAAATCTTTTCCGAAGATTTAGAGAGCTTCAAATCGATTTGGACCTTTTAATTGGTCCCCGAGTTAATTTCCAGTTTCAATTTTGGAAGAGATTCAGCCTGATTCAGAGATTCAGCCACCAAATCAGGCCAAATCTCTTCCGAATCAAATCACGACCCAAAGCTTCACGCAGCCCTAGTAACTAGGGCTCCTAGATCTCTTAGGCTTTGCAGTTGCTTATTTTTATAAATTTACTTTTTTTACAAGTTTGTCTGACAGGTACTATTGTGTTCTTCAGACTACAATGTAAAATCATACTTCACAGCTAGGCAGAAGGACAAAACCTCTTCTGGCATGCTTTATTATGCTTAAGAAATTTACAGGCTCATATTTGTGCTGGACCAAAGCAAGTCATTCTATAGGCTTTTGCTTTGCGTTGAAAACTGGTTGCATTTATTTGACCTTTTAAAAAGCAATACCAGAATTGTGATATTCTGTAACAAATCATGCCATGCTGGTGCCTAAGGAGTTTTGTTGTCACTTCTTCAGTGTCTTCAGTCCACTTGACTCCATTAGGTATCATACAATTTAGCTGATGCTCTTTATGGCTTAAAAACATGTGAAGTCCCTTTCTTCCCAGGTGACTTTCCTGAGCTGTCAACACTGTCTTGTAAGTGGAACCTTTTATCTAGATTAATATACTGCACCTATTATCCTGGTGTCTGTGTGACTCTGGGTCTGTGAGGTGAAATGAGATTATTGGTCCTTCTAATTCCACACGTGGCATCGAGCACTGGAGATGTTTTGGAGGACAAGTGGAAAAGAACTGAAGTCACTTTAGGACTTTAAAAGTGTTGTTGAAATATCTGTTAAAAATCTTTCCTCCTCTTGCAGGATTATCTGACTGATCTGATCACCAACGACAGTGTTAGCTTCTTCAGAATCTCAAAGAAGATGTATCCGCATAGACCGGTATTGATGGTTATCAGCCATGCTGCTCCACATGGTCCTGAGGATTCAGCCCCTCAGTATTCTCATCTCTTTCCCAATGCTTCACAACACATGTAAGGAAAAGGAAATCCCTGTATTTCCAGGCACAAGAAAAAGAATGGGGTATTTCTGGTAGAAACAACTGCTTGATCCATTAGAATTTTATTATCAATTCATTATAAGACATCTCTCTACCTGATAAACTTGCTACACTGTAGAGTGGTGTCGCTAAGCACATTGCATGAGCTGTTCCAGGTGAGCTGCTTCGTAAAACGGAAGCAATATAGCTGTGTCTGCATGGTGCTGCAAGCAAGCTGTATGGCAGTGTCGCTCAGCAGCGTGAATTAGTCCATATGAAGCACCAGGTAGACATGGCTGCACTGTCTCCTGTTTAGGAGGCAGCCTGTTCAGAGCAGTGAAGGGTGCTAGAGGACACCTTTCTGAAGTGTACAGTTTCCTGCACACAGATAGTAAGAGCAGAAACATTTTGACTTTTTATATGAATGTGCAAAATGTTATATGCAACTTGGCAATAGGGCCCACATCCATGGTCCTTCACTGAGGTTCACTGAAGTCACTGGAAAGATTAATGTTGACTTCATTGGACTTTGTGACCTGTTCACTGGAACTGATTTGTCCTCATTTCTCTGGCTTTAAAGTGGGGTAAGTTTAACATCAGTAATATTGCTTGTGAAATAAGGTACTATTTAATGTGATTGTGAACACTAGGTTCTGGCCTTTAGATGGTTACTCTGGCATGTGTACACGTGAGTTTTGTCAGTTTGTGAATGATACCACCATTCAGATTGTAAGTAGAAATGTTTTCTTGTGGGGAAGGTGCAGGGCACTGAGATGCAGGCGAGATGCATGACTGGCCAGCATTACACAGGAAACCTTTGGCAAAATGATCCAACTACTAGACTTGTACTTTCACCAAAATTCAGTCTTTGTAATTTTCTTCCTGTCTGTAGCGGACAAACAATGATTCCATATTCGAATCCTGCATATCTAGCTTGAAGACACATTGGAGGTTATTTTAGTTTTATGTAGAAGCCTGGAATTGACTCCGTAAGGTTATCAACAGATTACAGAATAGCACACGCTGCCTTTCAGAGTTGAGCTCTGTGGGACTTGTCCAAAGCCCAGTGAAATGAAGCGGGAGCCTTTACTGATTTCACTGAAAAAGATCTGAGTGAGGGATAGAGAAAGACAGCAAGAATTTCCTCTGTTTTAGTGCCTAAATATTATAGAGCTAACGATTCTGTTTCATTATGCTGCATGATGTCACTAAAGAGAATCTGTTTCTTGGGCCTGAAGTGATACAGTATTTCATGTTTAAGTTGTTTGCCATCCTGTGCTGGTTTCTTCTCCTTTGAAATGAAAACTACGGAAACTCAAAATGAGTACTGTCTGCTGTTGCTCATACAGAGAGTTGACCTCAGCCTTATTAGGAATGCTTTTGGAAGGCACCCTTATCTAGGAGATGATAATCGTTTTCCAAACAATGCTCTACAGCAATTTAATTATCATGGTTAAAAGAGAAAGGGGTAGAAGCAGCTGAGGAAGGAGGGTGATGAAAAGATGCAGTGCACATTTTTTTTCCTTTCACATTGTTTACTTTTTATTTTCATGCAAATTGAATTTATTTTCCTGGCTGGGAGATGTTTTTTATGGAAACCACTGCAGGATTTTATAATTGCAGCTGAATTTTCTTATTACTGTTATTAAACTATTAATTTATAGGCACTGGTACTTTACAAGAATTATTGATTTGTAAAGCAGTATATCATCTTGGTAGATTAAACAATTTTATTATTCTTTTAGATGTACATATTAAGTAGGCACTATTATATGCATCTTATGCAGGGAAACTGCTTGCTTCCAATTATTTTAAACACTTTTTACAGCACAATACAATATAAAAATGATATGCAGCATTTTGCTTAAGTAAAAAGGAATAATGAGAAAAAGAGACTATTTTCAGCAATGCACAAATATCTAATTAGAAGTGGTCAGCTATTAATGCATTACATGGGATATATTTTCAAATCTTTTATACAATAACTGTTCCTTGCATTGAGTACATATGGCCTAATTTTCAAATAAAAGTTAAACACGCAATTGCATACACAATGCTAACAGCTACACAGGCAAACTAGTCATCTGATTTCCATATTTCTCCTATCCCAAACTACCATGTCAATCCCTTAATAACAGGCGATGTACTGCTAGCATATCCCATCTCTGCACTAGTGTAACTGAGCAAGGGCAACCGGGTCACCAGCAACAAGTTCTGCCTTTGCAACAGGGTGCAAAAATTGCATGGTTGCCCTGTGCTTTGCTGCTGCCCAAAGTGCAGAGCCACTCTGTTACACCTCTGCAAGTCTGTATGGGAGAGGTGATAGATCACGGCCAGGGAAAAGGCCTAATGTTGCTGATGGACCATGATGTAACTTAGAGAAGCCCTGAAACTGCTCTGAATTGCACTGGTGTTTGATTGGGATCATGGACAACATAAAGGCACCATAACTTTTCCTCCCAGTTTGGTTGAAGCATTGCTTACTGCTCAAATTCTGGCTCTTAAAGGGATGTCCATACAGCAAAATGAAGGTGTAATTGTAATACTGTTTTAACTTAAATGTAGCTATGAATGGTAATGATTGTAGTCAAGGCATGGGGGTGGTATCAGCTACCACCCAGGGAACATGCATGCAGGTGACCCTGGCTATGCAGTCTGGTTGCTATGCCATGCTGCCACATCTTTGTTACTGTTGTTACTTGTGCCAGCTAGATTAAAGCAGTTAGAGTTATGCTTACCCATGCCACAGTTGCTGGCACATATTTTATGTGCAATTGCAGTTCTCTTTGCAAAAATCAGTCATCTCCCCACCTTCTATTTTTTTAGGTTTCCTTTCCTTCTCCCTAGACCAGAGCTTTCCAAACTGTGTGCCGTGACACATTAGTGTGTCGGCGGCAGTGTGTAGGTGTGTCACGCGAAATGCAGAAAATTTTGCGGAAGGGCACCACGGAGCTCCCTTACTCGCGTCTGCTTCCCTTGGCCCCTCCCCCGGAACTGAATTACTGTGTCGCGAAATGATGCATGTCTAAAAAGTGTGTCACCAACATGAAAAGTTTGGAAAGCTCTGCCCTAGACCAATAGTTGAACTGAACTTGACAGCTGGGCATTTTCATAGTGGCCATTACTGCCGTTTCTGTAAATAGTACATATTTTATCATTCCCCCAACCTCCACCCCCATTTTCCAGGGTCAGATACAATCAGTATATAGAGAATAATCAGTATGGTGGAGTTTGTTTTTCCTTTGAATAAATTTGAAAGGGCTATTTTGTCTCGCTTCCAGGAATGTTATGTTTTGCGTTTTTGCCCAAAAGATAGACAAATCTGTGAAGTGTAAGAGGGTTACATTTGTAGTAATCAAAGAAAATCATGGGCCAGGGGTGGATTAAGCAGCGGGAGGTTTCAAATCAGCCAGGAAATCACAAAGTAAGCTGAAAAGGAGTTTGCCAAGCATTTTGATTCATTCTGGGCATTACATAGCAACAGTTTCCATAACTGTCAGCATTTTCAAAGGAGCAATGTCATTATTTGAGCCACACTAACATTCTGAAATTCAAGATATTATTAACCATGCACAGAGAATAAACAGCAGCCTTTTCTCCCCATATGAAGAATCTTCCCTTCCCTGTCTGTGCATTTTTCAGATAGGATCTCACATAAAGCTTTCCACATAACTTGTCATAATCCAATTATCTGGTATTATTTTCATGTTTATTTGAAAAGTGAAACTTTTAAGAGTATTTGGTACCAATGATGTTAAAAAATACACTCAATGCAACTGATTTCTAAAAAGAAACCTTTCAGTTTTTGCTATCTATTATTATTTATCCTGGTGCTATGTTATCTTGCTACTCTGATGCATGTAAAACAATAATAATGGCTGGTTCTTTTTCTTTTTTTTTTTTTTGCAAGATGCATGTATAATTTACCTGTAAATTGAATGTTAGAAATCAGAAAAAAACTAAAGGAAAATCTTCTGTTCTTTGCTATGCCACTGGTTCACCATCTTGTATTTTACAGGTAGATGGCAACACTAGCACAGATTGATCTAATATTTTGAAACCGAAAGAGGCATCTGAGCAGATTGCTCATTTGGGGAAAATCACCTCTCATATTTGTGAAACTGTGTGTGTGGTCTGATCCAAGCCTGTGTACCAACTGATACCTAAAAACAAGTAAAACACGGTGGTAGGCCATAAATGATGGCAAACATCCTAGATGTATCTAAGAAAGATAAATAAACTAATAGTGTTTCTTGACAATCGAAGTAGAGACAACAATAGAAAAGAGACAGTGAAGAGTAACCACTATGGTGTAATGTAATTATGCATAAAAAGATCAAGCTCCAGAACTACCAAACGAAATGAAGGACAGTGATGCCCTTCTTCACATTAAATGTTGATACTTGAATGGAAACGGGATCATTATGAATTAAAAGGGCACTAAGATTAAGCAGGACCTGAAATCTAGCTCTTTGGGTTTTGGCAGGATCCTGAATTCTCCTTCCATGTTGTGTACTCATCCGTTTTGTAATTTGAACGTTTCTGATGATTATGGAAGTATTAGGGCTGGAAAATACCTATCAAATAGAGTCCTATTTCCCCTTACCCCTGCTTTTTTTGGCAGGTCTTTAAAATGCGGCTTTGTACCTACTTCTGCTTGCCATGCGTTCACATGCAGTTTGATATCACCAGGTAGGGTACTTGTGCTCCCCTGGGTACATGTGTGTTAAAATATTTAAGTAGCCTGTTATGCAGAACCTTTCTGGCAGGTTGGCTAGTTACTATTAAAGAGCTTGCACAACACATAGTAGCCAATATTAGCATGGGCAGAATGAAGTGGAGCAGTTACATGAGTGGAAAGTCAGTTGTACACACTGCTGGTTCAAATAATGCTCCCTGGTTGCAATGTTAGACTTTGGAGGTTTATTTGTTGGCCTTGGCATATATCCCTGTTAGTCTGAAGGATGCTGTTAAAACCATATTTATTTTCAATAGGTTTACCTCCTGAAGAGCTATTTTCATGCTCCCATTTTTCACATAAAATATAAAAGGCTGATACTTTTCTGTCAGAAATGTAGGTTTTCTACATACCTTGAAGTTAGTCTTATAGTGTTGGTCAAATAGATTTTATTGTTACACACGACTCCATTTTTCCCCTCAAAATATCAATGCTCTGTTTTCCTTATTGTTTGTTAGCACTCCTAGTTATAATTACGCTCCCAACCCAGACAAGCACTGGATAATGAGATATACTGGTCCCATGAAACCTATTCACATGGAGTTTACCAACATGTTACAGAGAAAACGCCTGCAAACACTCATGTCTGTGGATGATTCAATGGAAATGGTAAGATTACTAATCTCTTTTTCAAACCCAGCTGGTGCTTGTTTCTTAACAAAAGCTCCAAAAAGTTTGTCATTAAAAAAAAAGAAAATTGAACCCCCCTCACCCCCCACCTTCCCACCCTGCTTATAAGTTGTGTGTCTTGAATAGGAGTCTTCAGGCCGCTACTTGGGCTTGTTTGCTGCTGTAGAAAGACATATTTGAAGGTGTTAGATTGTGCTGCTTCTTGTCTCCTATCATTGCCATCACTAAGAGGTAGCCAATGCCACTGAGCTTAATCTTCCTGTGAAAATTCATGCACCTAACATTCTTTTATTTTTTTAAAAAGCATGTCCATTTTTTTCAGTACATGAGCGACAAAAAGGGCCCTGAGAAATCATTGCAACTTACTTAAATGCAGTTGCTGTCAGTGGTTTGTCTAAATTTACCTCTGTAAGTAGGTTGCTGCTATTTTCCTGTGGACCATCAACGGCATTGATTCAGCTTGTATCTCCTAAAGGGATTCATATTTTGTTTATCAGACTTTCTCCTCATTATCACATGCTATAATGGTCCAGACCTATGAAGTCTGTTTTTTTTGTCTTAATTTATACTGATGAAGCTCTTGGCTACAGTGAAATTTCTTCTGACTCAATAGCGGAAGAGGAGAATTTATGCTCACATTTTCCAAACACTGATCCCAAATGTGTTTCCTTAATGAAAATTGTTTTAGCACCATATTGTTAGATTCAGGCAAAATGATAGAAACAGAGCAAATGTCAAGGATGAAATGTCATTTGATGAGAGATCAATTTCTGTATTTAAGTATTCCCATACAGATTTGCATTTAACTCCCTAAAAATAATAGCTTTTAGAATTAAGAGTTAACTTACCATGTTGTTCTTTCAGGGCTCCTATACAAGAACAGCAAGGCTGCTCTGATGTGCTGTAATTACAGAGCAAACTTGATTATTTGAGTCTGCTCGAGTGTGGTAATTATTGTGCTCCAGCAGACTCCAGTGTCTCGTGTATCAGTGTCCCCGTGCTTAAAAATGGTGGCAGGGGTGTTTTAACTAAAGCTCGTTTGATGAGCTTTAGTTAAAAGTGCCCCCACCATTTTTAAGCAAGGGGACACTGATACATGAGATACTCCAGGCACTTTAATTAGAGCAGCTCTCGGAGCATCTCTAACGAAAGCACCACCTCCCACTCCCCACACTCCCAGAGCACATGTATAAACACCTTCAGATAGCAAGAATGACTGGACTTGGCTGTTGATTAGCTAGGGGTAGATTTTGGAAACGTTCTGTGTAAGGAAGATGCATATATGACTGTTGCCGAGCCTTGAATGTTGCACAAATGTGTGAAATTCTAAATGCTGCCATATTATTCAGATAGTTTGCTATATATAATATTTTAAAGTAAAGAAAGGGAAAAGGAAAGACTTATCAAAAGAGCTCAGCACCTAAGAGCTCTCATTCAGGCATTTGAAATAGTGGCCGTCTTCTGAAATTTTACATGCTATGCGTTTGGGGTTGTTTAATGAAAAGAATGTTACACTTTTTTTTTTCCAGATTTATAATACACTGGCTGAAACAGGTGAACTGGACAATACTTATATAATATATACAGCAGACCATGGCTATCATATTGGGCAGTTTGGACTGGTGAAAGGGAAGTCCATGCCTTATGAGTTTGATATCAGAGTTCCTTTTTACGTGCGAGGTCCAAATGTGGAGGCCGGTTCTTTGTAAGTCCTTGGCTTTAGCTCCTGAATTGCTTTTTGTGAGATTGATGTGATGATTGCAACAAAATTTATGGGGCCAGTAGCCATATAGCAGGGCTTTAAATATACCTTCAGGGAAGTACAATGGTGCAAGCAGATTTTTCAAAAATGGGTCATGTTTGAGATTTGTGCAACATGGTAGAGTCCTCTCTTCACTAATTAGGCAGGTATAGTTTGCCTGCTTCACACACACAGTGCTGGCGGGGTGAAAAGAATGGAAGGCTTGGAGCTGGATGACAATGTTAGGCATATCCGTAAGCAAGGACTAGTTCATGATCTCTGCCATCCTAGGAAGCATGATTGACCCTAAGGCCCCCTCTCCACATTATCCCTATTGAGCAATTACTTTTAAGTGCACGGTAAATTCAGACTTGGCTACACATGCAAATTAAGTATCATGTCTTAAAAAGGTCCAATTAGCTATAAAGTTATTGCTCAAAAATGTGTAATAACTTGATAGCTGGTTTCTATCCCGCTTTAATTTGCATGTATAGGCAGTCCTACGGCTGCGAGACCACAGCTGCTGCGATCACCCAGCCACTGGGGAGCACAGTATACCCCTGCGGCTGAAACATCATTGCCAATGCAGTCTCCCAGCTATGGGGTGCTCCACACGCCCCTGCCTCTAGGAGACCATGGCAGCACCCCACAGCTTTGGGGACTGAGTCCTACAGCTGACAGGACTTTCAGTCCCAGCTGTACCACGTGTGGGGCTCAGCCATGACCAAGAGCTGTGAGACATGCAGGGATTCTCGGTCCCAGCTGTGTGTGGTGCAGCAGGGGCCAAGAGCTCCATCAGGCATGGGCTTCCATCCCAGTTGTGCTTGGCCCCCACAGCTGGAAGCCCTGTCAGCAAAGGGCACTCCTGACTGTGGGAGCCTGCTTCTTACTGGTGTAGGGGGAGCCCAGGACTGGGCTCATAAGGCAGGATTGGGCTCCCCCGACACCAGCAATAAGGTATGATTGGATCTAATGTAGGATCCCAGAATCACGCCTCCTGCCATGCATATGTGGCATGGCAGGAAGCACGATTGTGTGGATTACACATTAGATCCTTTCATGCCTTTACCTCAGGGGCAGGCAAAGTCCGGCCCATGGGCTGTATGCAGCCGGCAGCAGACTTCATTTCCCAGCAGCCCCTGCCCACATGGCTGGGGCTGGTCTCCATGGAGACCCCAGCTGCAGCTGCACTGTGATAGTGCAAGCCTGGGGTTGCCATGGAGACTGGCCCCAGCCATGCTGGCAGGGTACATGGCAGGGCAGGGCAGGGGGCAGCTCCGGAGCCACTGGGGTCTTACGGTAGGGGCAGCTTTGTCTGGGGCTAAGGCAGAGCTGTGATCTGCAGCCTGCACGCTCTGGCCAGGGGTGTGCAGGTAGTGGATCACAGGTCTGCCCCGGCTTGGGACCACGCAGTCACCGCTGTAAGTAGCCGGAGCAGAGCTGTGATCTGCACCCTGCATGCTCCAGGCAGGGACGCACAGGCAGCGGATCGCGGCTTTGCCCTGGTCCTGGACCAAGCTGCCTCTGCTGCAGGATCCCAGCAGCACTGCCGGTCTCCATGCCAACCCCAGCCTTGTGCTGTCACAGTGCAGCTATGGCTGGGGTCTCCATGGAGACCGGTCCCAGCCATGCAGGAAGGGGCTGTTGGGAAATGGAGTCTGGCTGCTGGCCGGATCCGCTATTTTGCCCGCCCCTGCCTTACCTGCATGCGTAAAGGTGGCCCAAGACAAACTTCCCCAGCTTCCTTCCTACTTTGTTTAGGGGTTCTGTATTAGGAATTAACTGATGTCCTTTTCATTGGTTCATTTGGGTGAAATTTCTTTAGATGATTTTGGTAAGTTCACCAAAAATGCATTCTGAGGAGGACCAAAATTATTTGTGAATTTGGGGCATTTTCAGAGAATGCCTTCAGCCCCCAAAAATGTCAGATGGGGGAAATTTTTGAAAAATCTAAACGTTTGGTTTGGTACTTTCAAAACAAAATGGTTTAACTTTCTATTTTAATTTTTTTTGGTTCAGAATTGAATTAAATTTGAAATTGGCAGAGATGGTGCACGGAGAGGGGGGAAGTGGTGGTGATAAGTAACCCTCAAATGAAGTGAAATGTTTAATTGATCTAACATGATTTATTCCCCAATTTTTGTTTTGGCACTGATCCAAAAAGTTCATTTTACACATCTCTGATCAGCTGCTCTGACCTACAAGCAGCGGGGTGGAACCAGGGTTCCTTTCCCCCTCACTTGCTGTTCATCCTGGGCAGGTGGGTTTCTGCTCTGAGCAGGCTGCTTTTTTAGGCTTAGCTCCAAGAGCTGAGAGCAGATGCTGCAATGTAACAGGGGGCCCTGTTACCTTTTACTTCTTTGCACAGGTGGGCAATCCAAATTACAATATAGCCGTCCGTGGGGACAGCTGAAAAGGCCATTTGAAAAACTTCTAAATTTTGCAAACCTTCCTTGGAAATAGTTCATCATTTTCTTCTGTAGTAGCACTAAGCCATGATATTTTCTGGTAATTCTATTATATAATGTCCATTACTAGAGTAAATAGCTATTGTCAGAAAGTAATTAAATGGAACAGTAGAATCGCTGTATTGCCTATTTCAGCTTTCAGTAAAAAAGCCACAGAGTATTTTCCATATGTGTAATCCTTAGTCTGTCCTCCAAGATTTCACATTTAAGTTGTTTGTCAGTGACACACAAGAGCATGGAATATGACTGTTAATTAAAATGGTAGCTTTGATCAGCTAAGAAATTATGTAAATATACTTTCTAAGCAATTATTTTAATAGCAAATATTTGCTCTTAAGTAATGATTTTGGACAGAGTGCCATAATTTGCTGCCTTTTATTTATATCAATGTGCATGTTTTAGCATAATTAACATGTATAAAATCTTCTACTCACAAGTTTGTTCTTATACTCCAGAGGGAAAGATCTAATACCGAGTATAATAAAATAGCAAATGGCTTTAAAAGTAGCAGAACAGTTTTAGTTGCTTTGTTAGTTAAAGTCATAGGATCAACACATTACAAAAAGTTTTAAAATCTTGAAGTGTTGTGCCAAAAATACTTGACATGTATTTACATGGATATTGGCTGTATAAATTACATGTAAGATAAACAAGACCCCTGACTCAAAGTGTTCATACTCTATCTCAGATAACAATGATCTGAGAGCTTCAGATGTAAATGTTGGAAGACACATCACTTAATTTCCAGAGGTGCTGAGCAGCTCTCGCTGACTTGAAGATGTGAATTCTCAATACTTCTGAGAATCAGACCCTTTCCTTCACCCTATGCATGGAAACTAGCACTAAACCCAGAGGAAGACTTGAATACTATATCAAAGAGATTTGTAGGAAATAGGGATGACAGACTTTGTCAATGGGAGAATAGGAGACTCTTCAGTGCACAGGAAGTAACAAGAAGAAGATGTGAAACCATGAGAGTGAGGAAGGAGGTAGGAGGGAGGAGATTGGGAAGAGCATAAGGCACAGACAGGTAGGTGAGATACAATAGATGAAGATCCAGAGAGTCCGTAAGTACATAGGGACTTTGCCGTCTCTGTTTTACATGGCAGATGCTCAATACAACCATGATGGGTGGCAGTATAAAACCTTAAGCTAGTCAGATGATGTATAGGAGAGTAATGGAGTCCCACTGAAGTCCAAGCATACTTGAGACTACTTTCCATAGTTAGTGATAACTGTGAGAATATGAAATGCTTTCCTCTCACAGAGTCTCCCCGGTTACCCGGAAATGTAAGGGGGTCTCTCTCTCTCTCTCTCTCGCTGTTTAACAAAAAAATATGGCCCTTCATTCCTTGTAGTTTGGATAGAAGGGTGAATGGCTTAGGAAAGAACAGCCCTTCTCCCTGTGAAATAGGGGCTCAAATACTCTTCTACTCATATACCATTGGAGTGTTTGCCAGCAGTGCTACTCCTCTTATACTGAGCCCCTTCTTTATAGTTTTGGAGGGGAGTGTCAATATTGAGCTGCACCGTAAGTTATCCAGACAGTGGGTTTGATATATCAGAGGTCTGTCTAGCTTTGATAATTAGCTAAGAAGGGGGTAGCCTGTCTGAATTGTCTCAGCCTCAAGATTCCCATTTCCTTTTGAACTTGCTTTCAGCCTTGTAGTAGAAGTGCATTTAAATCGCAAATGAATGATGCCCTGTAGAATCTTTCCACCGGGCTTTGTATTTGAGTGGTTTTTTGAAGGTAAAAATATTTCTAGGAATCAGAGACTAAAAACACTTAATAGACCAGAGACTATCCCACTAGAACCTAGAAGAGCAGGATAAAGTTCCTTGGAGAGAGGATATATCAAATAGTAAATTGATGCTTTCCTTCAAGCTGAATTTCCACAGATAGTAGAACCTCAGTGCTCTGCATTTTGCCAATACCTACGTCTCATATTTTTCATGCAGAATAATTGCAGCGTCTCCTCTTTCTTGCCAGCAAAGATTTTATAGCAGCCGCTGTAGCAAGTAGTCATTCCTGAGCCTTATTATTAATGCCAAATATAACACGCAACAATCACTGGTAATTAAAAGTAAATTACACGCGCTCAATAATCATCATATCTCTGCTCTTGTCGTTGCCTGCTGACTTTTTAACTCATAAACTTCTGCAATTCACAAATGGTTTCTTAGGATTTGAATTAGCCTGGTGGCAAGTAACTCCTGGGCCTAACTGTGCAAAACTAGATTTGCTGCAGAAAAGTATATTCCCCTTTGTCTATTTTTTTAATAAGGTGCCCACTTGATTGTTTTTAAAGAACATAAAATTATACCTAAGAATATGATATTGCACTTGTAACAAAGGCAGCTTTTGGGTACCAGGTTCCTCTCTTTGGAGAATGGAGGGGTCCCTATTTGGGAAATCAGTATTGTAACATCATAACTTGCAGAAATAGGGCCAGTTCCTCTCAACTGGTTTGCTGCCTTCTCTCCTCTCTCTCCTTCCTCTCCCCACAGTAACTGTTAGCTGTTTGCTTTACTGCTGCATAGGCCCAGGTTTTTTGGCTTTGTGCTCTATGCTGAAACAGAACAACCATGTGTTATCAGCCAGATTTACTTTTTAATAAAATCATTACCATAGTGGCAGACCCCTTAATTCTCTGAGACACTAGAGTTTTTCTTTATGTGCTGTCTCATATCCCAAAATAGCCAGAACCTTCTCTAAGTCATTAACTTGCTTTGCCTTACAAACCATTTTGCATATTCACTCTCAAAATGCTATGTGCTTAAATTAATCTTCACATTAGCCTCTGTTGAGGTTGTGCACCTAGCATTTTACTAGTATTGTATATTTTAATCCTTTTCAATAGCTGACTAGATTGGATAAATGTCTTCCTTTGTTCTGTGCAGATGTCACAGAGTAAGCTTTTTTTAGGTCCTGTATCCTCCATGGAGGAGCTGGGGTTTCTGTAGTTGTTTGCAGCCTCCACAGAGTTTTTCTAAACAGGGTCTTTATATATTTCTTTCAGGAATCCTCACATTGTATTGAACATTGATCTTGCTCCTACAATTCTAGATATTGCAGGCTTGGACATTCCACCTGACATGGATGGTAAATCCATTTTAAAACTGCTGGATTCTGAGAGACCAGTCAATAGGTAAGGAAGGAAAGTGCTTGTTCTGAGTGTGCATTTTCATGTACCTATGCACACTTGATCATTTACAGCTAAATATAGGGGAAAACAATAAAAATGGATATATAAAATGGGCCCTAATGCATAGGAAAAAAAATAAAAATCTATTTATCTATTCAATATGTTCTGGCCTATTTTTAACTTGATCTGATTGCTGTGTTTTGTTATAGGATGCTTGTCCTCTAGATATCCACACATAATGTGTGTAATAGTAAACTGGCCTCTGGTTACATGGAGGTTTCTAGCTACGTGAATGTAAATGTTTCTGTGGCATCACTTACAATGATGTGTTCAAGCAAAGCCTTTTTTATCTCATCAACTGTAAACTAATTCAGGTGAAAAGACTGGTTGTCTATCCAAAGCATGACACAAACTCAGACTAATGTTTGGAATTATGCAGTTATTGTCTGAGACCTGCCCCAGTACCGTCACTGAGAACAGCTGATGGAAGAGGATTAGACGGATGCTTGTGAAAGAAAACAGTCTGAAGAATCAGCAACTGATGGGGCGGGGGTGGGGGGGGAGGAGCCCGCGGGAATTTTGCTTGTAAGCACATGTGGTGGAGAAGAGGAGAACAGCTAGATCAGGAGAGGGCATTTGCAGGGCAGAGGATGATTTCAAAGGTAAGGCACTGTAGAAGGAATCAGGAAGTCTGGATTTAATTACAGACTCCTTTGTGACCTTGGGCAAGTCACTTAATCCCTCTGTGCATTGGTGGTTTTTATATAGAAACAATGACTATATTGTATAAATCTGCTGTGGATATTGCCCATGAGAATGAATCTGTTCTGTGTTCTTCTGTGATTAGCACTGCTGATATGCATGTGTCTGCTTCCTATAATCATGAGTTCCCTTGGGAGGAATGGTTCACGTTTTTGGCAGGAGTTATTGGGGAGGAGGGGGCAGGTTGGGACTTAGCTGGATTTTTATACAAATGTTGTTTTTCCAGGTTCCATTTAAAGAAAAGGATGAAGGTGTGGAGAGACTCATTCCTAGTGGAGAGAGGGTAAGGAAAGAGTTAACCACAGAGCCCGGTCACCCTAAACAGGAAGATCCTACATGACTGGAACCAAAGCTGTCTCTGCTGTCTTATGAAAACACACGCCTAGCACCACATACCCACCCTTGCAGTGGCATTGCTGCAATATCTCTAATGGCAATGGTGTATGGTAGGAAAGACTGCATAGTAGTTTCGTGTTGGTCTGAAGGGTCGAAGTCCAGCTCAGCTTTCATGTGCTGTGCATACATGACTTTTGCAGAAGTTCTGGGGTGGGAAGGAATGAATCCTGCCCCTGCTCATTTCCTGCAAGCCCAAGAAAGGGAACAGCGCCCTGACCACTACCTAAGTCCTGTGTGGCAGAGGGAGAGTAAAAGGTAATGAACCTTTCCAGTTATGGATCATCTGGCTGTGGCCTTGCACCTCTGCCCTGGCACACAATGGAGGACAGGGAACAAAGGCAGAGTGTAGCCCAGTGGCACTCAGAAGAGTGTGCCTTATGTGTGTGCCTTATATCCTCTTTCCAGTGACTTGAGCCCACTACCTCGGCCCATCAGACTTTTAAATGGGACTGCATCATTTTTCAAACAACAATAGCTTGAGTTAAACATGAACCTCCAGGTTCTGCTCTGAGTTTGCAGTTGGATTTTTGAATCTCCTGCTTCCCCAAAGTTTGGGATGTCCCGATCTGCAGTTCCCATGCAAACTCAACTCTACTAACTCTTGTAGTTATGCATGCTCTAACTAGGGTAATCTAATAAAGACTTCAGGAGCCCATAGGGGCTGCATAGGAGTTGGGATCTCCCCTTTACCCATTTGCAGCCTAGCGTGATTAACCAGAGAAGATGAGAGAGGTAGTTCAGTTTCTTTTGGAGCATTAAACTCTGATCACTGGCAGAGACAGGATGCCAGCATTGATACTCCAATGGTTTGAGCCCCTCTGGCAGAACCTGTCTCATCCTTAGAATGAACTTTGATAGAACTGTGTTTCTTTTCTCTCTGCAGTAAACTATTGCACAAAAGGGAAAATGAGAAAGTGGATGCTCAGGAAGAAAACTTCCTGCCTAAATACCAGCGGGTTAAAGACCTGTGCCAGCGAGCTGAATATCAAACTGCCTGCGAACAGCTTGGGCAGGTAAGGCACATCGAGCACAGCGTAAGCAGCCGTATCAAGGCCTGAGCTTAACACCACTTGCAAACTGTGATAATGCCCTTCACCTTGTTCTCAATGCCGGCTTATAAATCAAGTGATTCATTTCATGGCCTTTGCTTAGAACTGTATTATAGCATTTATGAGATTGACTGGCAGTCAGGAAATTGCTGATTCAAGTGCCTCTGTATCGATTCCCAGCTACTGTAAGAGAACGACTTAGGCTATTTTAACATTCTGTTCCCCAAACAGAATGAGATTCAAGATTCATTAGTGATGACAGTTCACATTGAGCTCAGATTATTCCACATGTGCACAGTTCCCTTTTGCTACAGACTCATATTTATTTCATTAAATCATTTTTACTTCAATTTACATAAAATAACAGCAAGGAAGTCTAATGTGGCCATCACACATCCCTACCATTAACAAGAACAGCTCCTAAAAATGCACACAGTTTGCCAGTGCAATTACCATGACTGCATACAGTAGCTGGGGATAAAGGGGACATGTATTGTGTAGTCAGTTGTCCATGTGGTTTCTGCAATTACATAACTGTACTGCAAAAATGTCCACAGTCCAGACTCTTAATTGCACAGGAGGGATTTAGCAAATAATTATAGTGTATTACCAGGAATACAGAATGCATCCTTGGCTTGGCACAGTGTCCCTTTGTCCACTGGACTGGTGCGAAGGTATTGTAAACCTGTGTTAAAACGGCAACTGAGGATCACCCCAGCATAGGAATGCAAGGTGATGTAGCTGGTGTCTGATCTTTGGGAGGGCCAGAAGCTCCTGTTTCAGGTGCCAGAGTGCATTGCCTATGTAAGTGTCATCCATGTTATATCCAGAGTAGGTCATTATGACTTTATGGCTGCTTTAAATTGTTCCAGGACTTTGTCCTATGATTAGATAAAGCACCTTTACCACTTTCTCCACCACCCCCCTCACCCCCCCCAATACACTTGTGGACTGAGAGTGTAAGTCCTCAAGCTTTTGGTTTGGACTCAGATGATCAGGGGCATAGAGATGAACATTTCCTAGAGCAGGTGCACTGTGCTTATTTTCCCTCCTATGGCTTTCTTTTCAGATTTAGCGCTCTGAAAGAGTAATTTTGACTCCTTTTGAAAGTCTAAGCTGCTGAAATCTTGTGGATGTCACCTTTCATATACTGATTATTGTCAGCAAGCCTTTTTTGCTGGAACTGCACAAGGTAGCAAATTTTGAGATGTAAAGTTGTCATGTTCTTGAAGAAGTAAGGAGGAGTGCTAGATATTTCTGTTACTGAGTTTTCAAGTAGTTGGGGGAAAGCTAAATGTTCTTTTTTTCCATCATTATATATTCTGAGAAGGCTGTTTTGACTTTCTTATGCCATTTTGGACCCACCTTGTTTTGAACCTTGTATTAAGGACAGAAAAGAACAAGATTTTCCATGCTTGTCTGGACAGACATGGGGACTGTCTCCTGCAAGAAGGATCCTTAGCCCTAGGAAGGCTTCCTTTCCAGTATTATTGCACTTCACTGTCAGTGGAGGAGGGAGAGGGAGTGGAGAACAGGAGAATAGACAATCCCTGTTTTGACGCACACATTTATGTTTTCTTTTGCTAATAGTATAATACCTTTGACATCAGAAGAAAATGAGAAAAAAATGTCAGAATTGCCAGTAAGTTGCAAAGCAGAGGTGCGGTATCAAGAGAGAGGTTTGCCACGTTCTCATTGTCAGGAGCAGGGAGGATTGTTTTGGGCAGTTCACTAAGATGTAATTGGAAGTGATGGGATGAAATTGAGCAAAAGACAAATTTAAGTTGGACATCAGGAAAAACTGCCTAACAATCAAGTCAATTAGAGTCTGGGATGGTTTCCCAAGGGAGTCTCAATCCATCTAGCCCCTGCTCTAGAGACTGTGCCCTACTGCTCTGTCTAGACAGCAAGTGCTGTGGGAAATGAATACACTCTTCCAAGGGGAAAAAATGTCTCTAAATCTGGGTGCATTCAAACAGTTTATTAGACTGCCACAAAAATAACTTCCAGGACATGCTCGTGTTTGTTTGCCTGGTGCTGTTGGTGTGGCCCTACACAATACATACGTGCCAAATAAATTACAAATCCCTGTCTTGAGGAGCTTAAGGTACGCAGATACGGTGGCTACATTACAAACATACCTTGATCCTGTAGCGTGCTGATTACCATTGTGAAGGATGGGGCATATAATATTAAGCAGGATCTGTTCACAGAAGCAAGAGAGCTTTGTAAAGTAAGTGCCTTTTCAGATCCTGTTTTAAAGGGAGGGTACAGATCTGTATTAAGATCTAGACCAAAGCTTACTGAAATCACTGGGAGCCCTTTTGTTGATTTTGCTTTTGACTAGGCTGTCCTTTGCAGCCCAGGGGCAGTATGAAAGGTGACAGGAAACCTGGAGTGAAAGGAAGCAGATAGAGAAGCACAAGTGGATGGAAGTGACTTGGAGGCAAAATCAGAGGAGAAGAGGGCAGAGTTCAGTATGGAGGGGAAGTAAGGAGAACTTTGAATGTGAGAAGAGCCTAGACAATTGCTTCAGAAGCATTAACATAGCATCCTTTTCTCACCACAACTACGCGTTTCCTTTGCAAATCTCTGCAACCTTAGCAATGGAATACTCTTTGACCTGTAATCAGGCTGCTGGGAGAACTGGGATAGTGAAGATGGGGCTCTTTGCACAGTTGAAAACCTTGAGTCAGAGTCGTAGTGCATGAAGTGAGATTTTTTTGGTAATACTCGCATGTAAATGCCTGAGTGCAAAGGGAACATGTGTTGCTATCTTTTCTTACACAGTTGGTGGGGTCCAGGCCATGTTAGTGATTTGCATCCAGCAAAGGATGATGGTAACAGCAAATGAAAGAACAGCTCAGCATTCATATTCAAGGATCTGAAGAGGATCCGCTATTTCTTCCCATGTGAAATAAAAAACATTTATCATAGTACCCACCAGCTCCCATACAATTTCCGTCCCTTCAGTGCAGTTCAGCCTTTCATTTTAAACTGCCTTGGTAAGTGGAAGCTGACCCACTTTTATCTGCCGGCCTGCATTAATGTGCTTTTGTGGAAGCCAATTATGATATCAGCATTGCTCTGCAGAGTATTTCCAGCAATTCCTCTGTATCATAACAACAGTTGCACAAAGGACTCCATTGAAATGATTTGCAAAGTTTATTCATCTTTGCTTAGCGTTTTCACCTGCTCAGCTACAAGATCATTAGGATGAATCTATTCCTTGTTTTAAAAAAAGCATTGTTCTCTTTTTAACAGGATTTAGCACAATATAACTGTATTGCTAATTTGCCAAGAAAAATAGATGTCTGTGTTGGCGGCATGTCCCCTTCAATCCTGCTTTTCTTAAAATTCTACTTCTTATGGCTCAAATGTACTTAAAGATGAGTTTGCTTTATGTAGGGTAAAAAGCTCCATTTGTATCAACATTTTTCCCAGGAGAACTTGCTGTAATTCTTAGTTTCCTCCCATGTAAATGGTGTGTAAGTGGTGCTGAGATACTCATCTCTTCCCCCTGGCAGCTTCCATGGTAAACAGGAGTTACTGAAGGGTCTCCATTGTAAAGAAATCCCCAAGTAACATGGAAATGACATAACTAAAAGTATGCCACTTGCTCCCTGGGTCATCTTTCTTCATTGCTATAGGGAATATCCCAAGACACTTAGCTGTGAAAATGAAAGCTTCAGAAATCTGATGCATGTTTTGTTTTGTTTTTTCCCCCCCAAGGTTTATATATTCCTTTACAGACAGTCAGGAAAACCATGTGTGTTTTCTGTTCTATCCAGAAATAACCCAGAACAATTATGTCTAGAGAGTATTTTACTCTTACTGGGTTTTTGTTTTGACTTTAGTGCTTCAGAGAATCAAGTTAATATTTGTACTCCTTGTTAATTATAGGGTATGTTTTTGAATTCCTTTCAGGAAAGATAACTGAAAGAATAAGGTGCCTTGGCAAAATTGATATAACTTAATAAAAAGGAACTCTTCACCTATCCTGACACAAGTAGCAAGGTGTTGTAATTGATAAAACAATGAGTTGACAGGAAACATGGGTTGTAACCTCAACTGTATCACAGACTTTCTGGGTGACATTAGACAAGTCACTTCACCTTTCTGGACCTTTGTTTCCCATCCCACCTTTTGGCTGTCCTGTCCTTTTAGACTGCAAGCTGTTTAGGGCCAGGACTCTCTCTTTATACGTGTTAGTACACTTCCTAATTCAAAGGAGACCCAGCTGTGGTTGGGACTTCTTGCTTTTGCCACAATGCAAATAATAATAGTAATAGAATTAGTAATAGTAATAACCTTTGGCAAGGAATTCAGATTTTTACTTCTGTATTAGTCAACTGTCCCTCCCCCTATACACGAGATGTAGTTCACTGTAGCTGACAGTTGTTTTATTGTAACACTAAGAAGAGTTCACAATGTCCTGTCTTGGAATGTGTATTCACTTTGCAGTTTTAAAGTTTGAATGATCTGCAGTTACAGTACCTGCTAAAGCTGTACTAGAGCTAAGAGTCCACATGAGCTTCACAAGTCGGTGCAGGGAAATAAAGTCCTCCGGGAAAGGAGAACAGGACATGTTATTTATATACTGATGATTACGGAGGAAAGGAAGCAGATTCATCGTTTGCTAATGGATAAATTGGAGAAAGTATAGAGGAAAACTACCAAAACAATGAAAGGGAAGGGGGGGGGGGAAAGATTTGGCAAATAAGACCTGTGAGAAGTTAAAGCACTGAGCATTTTTATTCTGGAGAAGAGATAACCGAAGGGAAAGGCAGCTGTCCACACATCTAAATAGATGCTATACAGAAGACAGGAGCCTATTATTTTCAGCCAACAAGGACAGAAGATGGGGTAGTGAGCATAAGATAAACGAGGGAAAATTCAGTTCTGTGGCAAAAACTTGGTAACACCTGAGCAATGGAGCAAGCTGTTGGCAGGCTGTAGAATTACCCAGGCTGGAGATATGCATGGGAAAAACTAGAGGATTTTGAATTGCCTGTGGTATAGGAGTCACTAAATCAGTCCTGTGTTGTTGCAGAGGAGTGTGGACTGAGTTGCTTTCTCTTCCCTCCTCTCCAGTCCAAAGGTTTCGCCATACTGTTCTGATGAGTTCAACACACAAATCGGGGGTTAACCATGAAGAAGGGAAAATGTTGGCATATGAACAAATGCACGTAAACTGGCTGTGAATAAATTTAGTGTGGAAATCAGAAGAAGCTTTGTGCCCATCAGAGCAGTGACATTCTGGAACAGCCTTTCAGTGCCAGGAGGGATAAGGATGAAATCCTAACTAGATTTAAGATGGAGCTTGGTAAGCGTATGAACAGGATTCCCTAAAACAGCAGGGGACTGGACTTGATAACTCAGGATCTCTCTTCTGGTCCTTTATCCAGGGTCCCTAAAACTATTAGGAAGGGAGTCTTTCTGGCACCAAACAGGTTGGCCAGGTTTTTACCTTTCACTTCTCTTCAGAGCAAAGAGGGAAACTGAAGAACACAGCAGTCTTGATGGTTTGGCTCTAAAATTCATGAAATTCAGCTGGAATCTTGCCTTGGTAAGGCTGTTTCTCCCCAAAAGAAAATGTTGTCAATTGAGAGAGATTCACTGAGGAAATAAGCAAACTGCATGAAAAATCCTACAGGGAAGGTCACAGCCATTTATTTCTGATTGGAGCCCCAAGTAATGACTTTGAATTAACATCTGTAATTGCTCTAGTAGCAGGAAAGCATTGAAGCACAATAATGCCAAACCGCTTACTGGTGGCAGGGAATGGGGAAGAAATCAAAGTGTCATTATATGAATAAAAAACACAGCGAAGCATGGGTTTGGCACCAAAGGGTTGTTTGTATGTTAAAGGTGAGTTTTACTTGAGAAAGACATGACAGTCTTGTGTGTGTACACAGAGCTGCTGTGCGTGTTAGATTTGTGTTTTATGGATGCATAATTACCAGTCACTGGTATGTGTAGCAGGTCTTTTGGACATTTGAGCACCTGAATTCGAGGTCACCTTCTCCTTACCTTAATCATGAACTCCTGAGCCAGATTCCTGTTCATCAACACTGAATTTATCCACGCAGTTGTCAGCCAAGAAGTCCCCATTGTATAGAAGTCCTCAGCTAGCATGAAGATGACATAACTAAAAGTATGCCACTTGCTCCCTGGCTCATCCAAATCACAATCAAAAAAGCCTGCAGAAAATGGGGTAGGTTAGCACATGCCCCGATGAGTAGATGACACCCGAAAGCTAATGAATGTGAACAGACTAAAGATTATGCGATTTGAAAATGGGATGCTTGCATTAACAAATGTATTTTGATTGTATGGCTGTTTATCCTGGGCTATAGTTTAAAACCCGTGCTTTAAAGGTATTCTGTATGTCTTGCAGACCCTGTAGACTATCTACATGGAGCTTTACACTTTTTATGTAAGACCCTTGTTTCCCATAGTGATGGAACTGCCCAGAGAGAGAGAGCTGGCTACTGGGGAGTGCAGCATGTCTCTCTGAACCCAGAGCAGGGCATGGTGTCAACCAAACATTTCTTGCAGAAATGGCAGTGTGTGGAAGATGCCAGCGGGAAACTCAAGCTGCACAAGTGCAAAGGGATGGCCAACCTGGCAGCCATGGGCAGCAGCAAGGGGATCTCCAACCTTATGCCCAAGTATTACAGCAGGAACAGCGAAGACTGCAACTGTGAAGAAAACGAGTATAAGCTGAGCCCAATTGGACGCAGAAAGAAACTCTTCTCCAAGAAGAGTAAGTGAACCCCCTGTCTTGCTTTCTAGGAAGAAGCCTGCTCCTTGCTCATGGCATCCAGAGAGATGGCCTGATTTTTATAGGTGATAAGTCCCAGCAACTTATAGGTGATAAGTCCCTCATTGAAGGTCAAGGTACAAATAGTGTCCACCCTTAGAAAGCCAGGTTTGAAAATATGTTCAGTCCATTGACCCTATGATTCTTTGGGAGGTGAATTCTTTGATGCTCGGCAGCCCAAAGCAGGGCCATACGTTGGCTTTAGCGGGACCGGGATTTGCCCCTTACTGTTCAGTGGCTCTGAATCAGTTTGCTATAGCTATGTGGAGTATGTATTTGCATAGTTCCAAAAGCTGTTCTTAGTCATGGAATTTTACTTAGGATAAACCTCTTGGATGTGTATTGTGGTGCCAGAAGCTTGCTGATTTTCCACTACGTTGAATCTTTCTTAGTCACTTTGATCCCATGTGGAAAGTACAACCATTTGAATTAAAAAGATGCAAAGTCTACATAAGGCACAAAGGAATGGAAAATTGGGCCCTTATCTCCAATTATTTAAATGGTAATACAGATAAAGGTGTTGCCCTGACAGTCCTGGAGAACGAAAATCTTTACTTACGCACCAGTCTGGGAAGGCATTCAGATATCCTGCACAGAGATCAGCATGAAGAATTGCTTTCTATTTTCCTGTAATTGTGCTTTGTGACCCTGTTCCAAAGGTCCATTCTGCTCTTGATCTCTCTGCACAGACTGCTAATTAGTGCTAATTGCGTTTTTAGTGATGTGGACTTGAATCTCAGTAGAGGTTTGCTCTTCTGTTGATTTTTTTTATTTGTTTATTTATTTATTCATTTTTAAAGAAAGTAAAGTACTTAAAAAGTTCAGTTAATTTGTTGAGCATCAAAGGTGCTGGGCCCTTGGAGTCTATGCCTTTTCAAATGGTGTTCTGTTACCCATTTTCTTTACTGTATGAAAAGGTAAGTGAAATAACTACAGCTTTCATCTACCCATACCATAGCTTGCCTGTATTGTTTCATTAACTGCCAGTGGTAGTAGGCTCTTATCTTATGTAGTCTAGCCACTGAAGGGGAGAGGAGTATGTAGGGCATCATACCAGCAGGGCAAATACGCTTAAACAGCCATAAAATACTACAGTATTTAGTTGCAATGGTGCAAAAGGATCCAGCGTGCAGTAGACTTACTGAAGTGTTTTGTGCTGTTAAGGCAGTAATTTATTTTTAATAAAGGTGTGTATATTCTGTTACAGAGGCTGCTTACCTCTAATGTCTTTTCCTGATACTCAACCAGTGGTGCCAAGGTTGACTTTTAACCAGAGATCATATCCAAAGGGGAAAACACCATTTTTAGTTCCCTTAGATCAAATCAGGTGCTTCTCCACAAAGCTCATTCCATTGGTCCTTTCTTAAACCTGAGTCAGACTAATATCTATATTTGAAGTACTGAGGCTAATTATAGATTAAAGAGGCAAACGGCAGCTCCAGAATTATTATTTGTCTGTAATGTTTCTTTCGTCTCCCTCCACAAATGCAGAGCCTTAATTATTTAGCAGATTAGTCTTTCTGTATAATGACCTGGCACAAGCTTCAAACGGAGAGTTTAAATTGATTTTCTCCCATTATATTTGCCTTGCAAGCTGATTAGTAACTACTAAGCTAATTTTTGGGTGAATAAAATTATTGGTTCCAAGATGAAATTACTCAGCTATACTTGCTGTTTTAAATATGTAGCACAGTAGATAATCTTTAAGTAATACTAGAAGTTGCAGCTTAATTAACTTTTTTTTAAAGACACAGTAAAGAAAATTTTGGTTACAGAGACTTGAACCACTTAACTTGGCAAGTAAACAATTATATTTACGTGGGGACAACATAACATTGTGTAATAATACTTAACTTGTATTAAGCAATTTTACTTGTCTGGTACTTATAAACATTAAACTTCTAATGTTCCAATACATTGGTTAAATATGCAGTTCCAGTTATCTCTCTTTTGCATGTGAACAAGAATGAGGGAAGGAAGCTGAGGTCACAAAGGAAGCCGCTGTTGGCACCTGGGCGAACACTGGCACTCTTGGTTCCCCGTGTTCTGCTCAGACAAGCTGGAGCTTGTACTCAGTCCTAAGCTATCAGACGAATTAGTTGCATTTAAAAAAAGGAAACATTTTAGTTTATCAGAAAAGATGTTTGTGGACATGATCCTGAACAGTGTGTTTTCCAGGCTTCTTTATCAATAATACTAGGAAAAATGGCTTCAAACTGCAGTAGGGGAAATTTAGGCTGGAGATTAGGCATGCCCCACAAGCGTGCGTGTGTGGTTTGCGGTTTCCTGTCTGCAGCGCTGCAAACCACATGTGTTGTACATGCAGGCGTTCGCCATGCTGCGAATTTGCAACGCGTGTCACCAAAACCTATGCCAGAAAAAAGCAGGGTGCTGCTCGTGGTGGCAGTGTGCACTGCCTGAACCCGGAGCCTGGTTGGCCAAAGCCACAATCCAGTTGCTGGCCAGGCTCCACACTCTGGGATTGCCACTGCTGGAGCCCCAAGAGGCCCCCAGGACCCCAGGTCAGGTTGCTGGGGCCAGCCCACGTGTGGCATCACCCTCCCCTACCCAACCTGGGGCAACTTGCATGCCAGAGTGCGCATGCAGGGACATTCCCACTTCTGGGGATGTGCCCTATGAGAATGGTCAGGGATCAAGCAGGCTACCTATAGAAAGTGTAGATTTTCGACATTTGGAAACTTTCAAAATTAGGTTAGATAAACCCTTGCTTGGGATATTTTAGGCAAGGATGATCCTGTCTTGAGCAGGAGGCTTGAATAGATGATCTTTTGAGGTGCCTTCCCGCCCTACTTTCTTATGATCCTAATAATGGTGATACAGGGCGCATCTGCACGTGCAAATGATGCTGATGGGTTTACTCCAGAGTCATTTACTCTGGAATAAACCCACCCTGGGCATGTATTTACATGAGCCCATTTGGGGGCTGATTTGCTGCTCCTGGCAAGAGTCTGCTCCCACCTCCTCCAGCCCACCACTGGCCTCCTGAAGCAGCCAGTGGGAGCTCTAGGCTCCCCCTGGGTGCTAGACCAAGGGCTGGCAGAAAGCATGGGGCCAGGAAACAGCTGTCTCCTTGCCTGGGTTGGGAGATTGCTCCCTGTCCCCAGGACCTGCCTGCTGCCAGGATGGGCTCTGGTGGTGGAGCCCAAATGGGGACAGTGTCCCTCTGCCCTGACAGCAAGGCGCCCCGATCTGCCGGTGGGGCTGCTAGCAGTGAGCCCTTGTCTGGGACCTGCCCCTCCCCCACAGCTCTTTCCGTGCCCTGTGCCTCAATCACCCAATCAGGACATGGGGCTGGGAAAAATCTGTGGAGCTGGGATCTGCCCCTGACCAAGACCGTTCTCAGCCAGCCCCGGGCTCAAGGTCGCCCGAAATGGGACAGTGCCTGGCCACCTCCAGGCTGCATGTGCAGACTTCCCCATGTACCCTGGGGCTGGCAGGGAACTGTCCCAGTTAGGGACATGTCCAAGCCAGCTCCATGCTGGGCAGGGAACTCTCCCTGTGCAGGGAGCTCCCAGCCCCCACTCTGCGATGGCGGAGCAGGGCCTGGAAGCTCCCTGCTGCAGGGTCAGGGAGACATAGTTCCCACCTGGGCTCTGGGGGCAGAGCCTGCCCCAGCAGCAGGCAGCTCCCAGGGACAGGGAGCAATCTCCCATCCCCTGCTGCCCCAGCTGATCGGGACCAAATTTGTTCCTGGTCAGCCATCTACATGTGCCATACTGAGCAGTAATTACTTGGCATTTAATTTGCTACTTGCTTTTGCAGGTAGCAGATTAACTGCTGAGTAAAGCAAATTACTGTGCAGTAAGAGTCAAACACAGACACTTACCGCACAGTAAAGTGTCCCATTTAGACGTGGCCACTGTCGCTTAGAGGTGCTCAAGATCAGATGGAATAAGGATGAATGACAAATTGATCCTTTTTGCAGGATGAATGACAAATTGAAGTCAAATAAATCACCTGGTTTAAGAAGATTTACAGAATTTCTATGTTAGTTCAGCACCTCCAAAGCTATAACAGGGCAGTAACAACTGACATTTCTGCTAGACCTTCTCTATTAAAGCTCCAAACACAAAGAAACAAAAGCTCCATGATTTTGTATGCAAATATAGTCGGAGCTTGAAAAAATAATTTTTAAAACTCAAGACATGATAAAGGCTAGGGACAGAAATTACACACAAACCATTACAAGTGATCAGAAAACAATTCAAATCTCTAACACAACAGAAGTTCAGTGCACGTAAACCACTTTCAGAATAGCCCAAACTGGTTTACGATAAACCTGGATGGGTGTAGTTATCAGACTTAACTGATTTAGGTTAAGTTGATTTACTGAACTTCTGTCCCAGATCCCCTCCAGACTCAAGTTAATTTACAGTCCCCCAGCATCCCAGGATGTTTTGCACCTCCCCTGCAAACCACCCCTCCCAGGGTGGGTGTGCTAGCCTTGGCCAAAGCTGTCTGCTCTAGCCAAGCAGGGAGGCGTGCTCTAGGATGCCGTGGCTTTTGGCCTGGGGCTCTGGAGGCATATGGCTGCATTTCCAGAATCAAAATGAATGCCTGTTCACTTGCTTATCAGTTTGATCTACACAGCTTAGATTAACCTGCAAAGATTGAATTGATTCAGCCTCAGGCTTTTTGATTTAGCCTAAAAGATGGTTGTGGGGTGGAGGCCCCTTAGTGAGCTTTCAAATCGGTGGGGTCATCTCTAAAAGAGTAAAGGCAGGGTAGGGCCTGCCTGTCTTATGTGAGGAAGGGCTATGCTGGCAAAGCCTTGCCTGCAGTGTCACACTAACATTGCTCTCTTGTTTCTAGTTTGGGAGGCAGGCTGTGCACATTCAGCAGAGCGAGTCTCAGCAGTGGATAGACCTCCTGTTAAACTGTTGTGCAGTAGTCACACTCTCAAACTAATCAGCTCAACTTGA